GGAGATGGAGACGGGGCTGGGGACAGGGGTGGGGACGGGGTGGGGACGTGGGCGGGTGGCTGAGCGCGGTGTCCCCAGGTACGAGGCGGAGCTGGCCATTCGCCTCTCGGTGGAGAACGACATCACGGGGCTGCGCAAGGTCATCGATGACACCAACATGGCGCGGATGCAGCTGGAGGGGGAGATCGAGTCCCTCAAGGAGGAGCTCATCTTCATGAAGAAGAACCACGAGGAGGTAGGGATGGAGCCGGGGAGGGGTTGGAGGGGGGGACAACCGGCCCCGATGGGGGACACCACGCTGATATGACCCTCCTCTCCTCCCCCCAGGAGGTGAAGAGCCTCCAAGCCCAGGTCTCGGACTCGGCGTTGACGGTGGAGGTGGACGCCCCCAAGTCACAGGACCTGGGCAAGATCATGGCGGAGATCAGGGCCCAGTACGACGCCCTGGCCCAGAAGAACCTGGAGGACCTGGAGAAGCAATGGGGGCGTCAGGTGGGTCCAGCCCCCTTCCCCCCCACACCAAACCTGCACCCCGGGGGGGGCCCTGGTGGTCCCCAAGGAACGGGGTTGATGCTCCATGGGGGTGTCTTCCCTGAGGGACATCAAGCCACGGTGGGGAGCAGCCCTCAGCTCAATGGGGTGGTCACCTGGGGGTCCTGACACGAGAGGGAACCCCAATCTGGGGGGGGTGGGGGTGTTCCCCACCCTGGGGGTCCCTGGTCTGACATAGGGGTGTTGCCCAAAGGCACCCTACCCTGGGGGTCCCTGGTCTGACATAGGGGTCTTCCCCAAAGGCACCCCCCCTTGGAGGACTTGACCAGTTCTGGTCCAGCACTGGGGACATTCCTGGGGTGACCCCTATCCTGTGGGGGACCCTGACCCCACAATGGGGACCTTCTCCAAGGGGGTCCTGGTCCAACACTGGGGACACTCGTGGGGTGACCCCTATCCCATAGGGGACCCCAAACCTCTGTGGGCTCCTTCTCCAAGAGGATCCTGCTCCAACACTGGGGACATTCCTGGAGGACCCCTGTCCCACGCGGGACCCCGGTCCTTGGGGTTGGCTCCTCCTGGGGTGGTTTCACCCCCTGTGTCCCCTCCATGGGTTGGGGTGGCCATGGTGGGCCGGGCCCACACCCTGACCCCCAAACCACATGTGTGTCCCCCCATAGATCACTGAGAGCACCATCGAGATCACGCAGAGCAGCAAGGACATCGACACAGCCCGCAGCACCGTGGTGGACCTCCGTCGCACCGTCCAGACCCTGGAGATCGACCTGGAGTCCCTCCGCAACCAGGTGCCCCCCAAGTCCCTTCTGTCACCTCCAGTCCCATGGGGCCACCAAGCCATGGTCCGTGGTGGGCTGAACCTCCAGCTCCATGGGGCCACCAAGCCATGGTCTGTGGTGGGCTGAACCTCCAGATCCATGGGGCCACCAAGCCATGGTCTGTGGTGGGCTAAACCTCTAGCTCCATGGGGCCACCAAGCCATGCTTCATGGTGGGCTAAACCTCCAGCTCCATGGGGTCACCAAGCCATGGTGTGTGGTGGGCTGAACCTCAACTCCATGGGGCCACCAAGTCATACGCCATGGTGGGCTGAACCTCCAGATCCATGGGGCCACCAAGCCATGGTCTGTGGTGGGCTAAACCTCCAGCTCCATGGGGTCACCAAGCCATGCTTCATGGTGGGCTAAACCTCCAGCCCCATGGGGCCACCAAGCCATGGTGTGTGGTGGGCTGAACCTCAACCCCATGGGGCCACCAAGCCATGCTTCATGGTGGGCTGAACCTCCAGCCCCATGGGGCCACCAAGCCATGCTCCATGGTGGGCTGAACCTTGGTGTGATGCTCTGCAGAAAGCGGGCTTGGAGGCCAACCTGCTGGAGGTGGAGAACCGCTATGGCCTTCAGATGGAGCACCTCAACGGCATGGTCCTGAGGACCGAGGCGGAGCTGGTGCAGGTGCGCAACGAGCTGCAGCGTCAGGCCGAGGAGTACCAGGCCCTGCTCAACATCAAGGGCAAGCTGGAGGCCGAGATCGCGACCTACCGCCAGCTGCTGGAGGGAGGAGAGGAGTTCAGGTAGAAAAGATGGGGTCCCACCAGGGGATGGGATGTCCTGGGTCCATCCTTGGCTTGGGATGGGAAGGGGACAGCGGTGGGGGTGAGCCCCCGGGTGACGGGATGTCCCATCTCCTTGCTTCAGGATGGTCTTGAGATGGGAAGGGGCCAGTGGTGGCATCCAGAAGGGATGAGCCCAGGGTGGTGGGATGTCCCAGGTCCCGGCCTTCAGGACGGTCTTGGGATGGGAAGGGGACCAAAGGGGACCCTGGTGGCATCCAGAAGGGATGAACCTCAGGAGCTGGGATGTCCCAGGTCCCGACCTTCAGGACGGTCTTGGGGTGGGAAGGGGACCCTGGTGGCATCCAGAAGGGATGTGCCCGGGGTGATGGGATGTCCAGGTCAGGACAGCAAGGGGACAGTGGTGGCATCTAAGCAGGCATTGGCCCCAGGTGCCAGGACGTCCCAGCCCATCCTCCAGGGTGCTCTAGGGGACAGTGGTGGCATCCGGAAGAGATGTCCCCCCCACACAATGGGATGTCCCAGGTCCCGTCCTTCAGGATGGTGTTGGGATGGGAAGGGGACCCTGGTGGCATCCAGACGGGATGAACCCCAGGAGCTGGGATGTCCCAGGTCCCGTCCTTCAGGACACGCTGGGGACAGTGACACCCTGGTCCCATCCTCCAGCTCCATCACCTCTGGGTTCCTTGGGGTGACACTGGGGGGGACACACATCTGACTAGAGGTGGGCACGGGGAGGGGACACCCTGGGACACCCCCAGCCCCCTCAACCGCCCCCTCCCCATCC